CACATCAGCCTGCACCCACCGCAGCCCTGTGCGACACGAGCCGTGACCGTGTGCCTACCTCGGGCTCAGCCCACCCGTGTGCCACACGGGACACCTGGGGCTGGAGAAGCCACCACGGACCCAGGGACACCACGGCTGTCCCCGTGCCCGGGACAGCCACAACACTGCTGTCCCTCTGCCAGGGGTGGCATCACTGTCCCTGTCCCTGTCCCAGGTGTGCCTTCACCATCCCTGTGCCTGGGCACACCACTGTGGGTCACCCTCCTTGTGTGCAGGCTCAGCCCATGCCCCGGTGCTCCCCAGCTGCAGGCACACTGTCTCTGTCCCAGCACAAGCTGTGCCCAGGCACCACTTCCATGCTGATGCCATCTGTGTACAACAGCACCAGCTGCAGACATGTCACCTGCGTGCAGACAGGTCACCTGTCACCTAGTTGCCACTTGAGTGCCTCACTCATGTCTAGGGGCCACCTGTGTCAGCTGCCACCTGTGCTCAGGTATGACCCATGAGCAGCCACCCCCTGTGTGCTGGTCCCACCTGTTGTGCTGACACCACTTCCATGCCAATGTCAGCTGTGTGCAGGTGCCAACCATGTCACCTGTCTCCTCCTGGCATGGCATGGCTCAGCACAGTGGGCCCTAGCCACACTCAGGTGTTCATCTCCCCACAAGACCCAACGCAGCTCTCTGCAGCAGAACAGCTCCTTTAATTTTCACCATCACTCTGCCTTTGGCCATTTTATTTCCACCACATGGATGTAGACAGAGGAACCCTCTGCAGGGAGCAAACTTGGACTCTCCCTCAACACCTCAGTGGCCAAACAGTTTGCAGTTGTAGCAATGGTTTTGCTCTAAGTTTTGGGGGAAATGGCTTTCCCAAGTGGGTAGAATGTAGAAATGTGGATTATGTTTATGTACCACAATCATGTCATTGAAAATTCAAACATTAGTTGCTAATCTCATCTGCACAGATTAGAAACAGACATCTCTTTAACAGGAACAAGACTGATTTGCCACTGATTGTCTGATTTCAAGCCCCAGGTATGATAATTGGTGGGGAAAAGCAACCCCTGGAAATCCAGGGTCATCTGGAGGCCCAGGTCAGAGCTCAAACCGACTGTGTATGTGTTTGGATTTTAGCTTGTTGTACTTGGTGATCAGATCCAGCTTGCTGTGCCCCAGAGTCATTCTCTTCTCCGCCCCATACGTGCTGTTCTTCTCCAGGAGCATGTCCTGGGGGATCTTGTCATAGCAAGACACCACAGGCTTTCTATCCCGTTTCAGCTGGTTGTATGGGGAGAACATGTCAAATTTGCTATGTCCAGGGCTCTGTCTCTTTTCCACCCCGTAAAACACGTTGTCACTCTCAGCTGGGAGCTCCCCAGAGGTGGCCACAGGTCCTCTCTGCTTCAGGCTTGTCCCATTGCTGCTGGCACCCTCCGAGAGGGACTGCAGTGGCTGCTCTGCTTTCGGTGGGGAGCAGTGGCTGCTGTTGGCTTTAGTGTCCCTCTGATAACCAGGTTTATTTGAGCTCAGGCCAGGGGAAGGTTCCACCTGCAGGAATGTCCTTGCTGTCAGGAGATTTGGTTTGGGGTACAAGGCAGGGGGGGGGTTATTTGGAGGATTGTTTGCTGAGTCTGGTGGTTCTTGCTCTTTAGGGCAAGTGGGCTTGAGGGATGTGTCTTCCTTCCCCTTCTTATTACCAGGATCAGAGCTGGAATCTTGCTTTACCTGGTGTGCACTGCAGCTGGAGTTCTTCATAAAGGGAGACACTTTTATGCTCCTGATGCTCACGTTGGAAAGGCTGCTGGAGGGGCTCAAAGTCTCAGCATCATTGCCCTGAGGAGGTTTTAAAAGGCAGTTGTCAACTCTGGAGGTATTCCAAGCAGAAGGGCAGGTGGCAGGGTCTGGCACACAGAAGTTGGTCACTGCTCTGGACTCTGCATAAAGGAACCGAAATTCCTTCTCGAACTCTGCCACGATTTGGCCACGGAAGTGTGTCACCAGGCCAGTGTGGACTTGGCTGCAAAGCCAGGTGAAACTGTGGAAAAAAGAAACAAATCACACACAACTTGAGTTCACAGAGTGCCAAGAGGCCTAACGCGGATTTTAACATTCCAGTGATGGATTGTTCCCCAGTTGGAGTCATTAAAACTTGCTCTAAGTTGTGCAGGTCTGAGATTGCTGGTAGAGATGAATGTGCTCATGCAATTACAAAAGCAAACCTAAAATGGCCATTTAATTCAAGCTTGGGGTCCCTTGATCTTCCCTCACCTTGGCAGGAGCTACATTCTCACATCCTTTACATCTGCAACAGGTAATAGACCCGAAGGAGTTCCTTAGACAGGCAGGAGGTGAGGAATGGAGATCCTGGGCATTGTCTTGAGGAGCAGAAGTCTCCAGAGCCCACAGGAATACCTTAGGACAGGAAAGCTGATGATGTTTGCCAAATGCAGAGATTCATAGAATGTTAAGGGGTTGGAGTGGACCTTAGAGATCATCCAGCCCCAACCCCTGCCCTGGGCAGGGACACCTCCCACCAGAGCAGGTTGCTCAAGGCTTTAGCCAACCTGGCTGTGAACACTGCCAGGGTTGGGGCAGCCACAGCCTCCCTGGGCAACCTGGGATAGTGTCTCACCACCCTCACAGGGCAAACTTCTGCCTAATAGCTAATCTAAATTTCCCTCTTGCAGTTTAGCCCCTCCTTAGGACGCCTTGTCCTGTCCCTGCAGTTCCTAACCAAGAGTCCCTCTGCAGCTTCCCTGGAGCCCCTTCAGCTCCTGGCAGGTTGCTCTGTGGTCTCCACACAACCTTCTCTTCTCCAGGCTGAACAGCCCCAACTCCCTCAGCCTGTGCTTGTAGGGAAGTTGCTCCAGTGCTCTGATCAGCTTTGTGGCCTCTTCTGGACTTGTTCCAACAGTTCCTATGCTGTGGACACCAGAACTGTGCGCAGTACTCCAGTTTCCTGACATTATTTTTCCCCATAACTGCTGCACACAGAGCCTGTCCCCAGATGCAGCCCAGCCTGGGGCACAAGTGCCAGGGTCTGGAGGAGGATGGCTGCAGGATGGGGTCCCTGCCATGCCCGCAGACAGCGCTGGAGCCGGTGCAGCTCAGTCCTCGGCCGGGAGATGGAGGTGCAGCATCACTCGCAGGGTGGGGACACCTGCCTGTCCTCGCAGCACCCGCTGCCCGGGCTCCGGCGTGGGCCGAGCAGCAGCGGCAAGAGGACCTGTGGTATTCCGAATGTCTCCCAGCAGCATTTTCTACACCGGATGAGGCCCCTGAGTGCATCTGTCCAACCACACTCTGCTCTGGGGCCGCAGTGGCCTTTCCACAGCTGTTTGTACAGGTGACTCGCAGAGCTCCACACTCAGCCTCTCTCTCTGCTTCAGCTGTTGCCAACAGATGAGACACCAATTTGCAGCAGAAGGGTTTTTTTTTGCTTCTTTCAGTCACTTCTCATTCATTTTTATTAGTCTTGTGCCACTTGGGCTGTCACAGCAATTCTTTTATTTCCATAGGACAATGCAAACTCTAGTGTTTCATTTTCACTCATGGCTAAATGTAGGTACTACATGACACTCATTACTAGACCTTTCATTTCAAGTGGCATTTTCTTTGATAAGGTGACAATAACCTGCCTTTACTGCAGCAATCTCTTTTGCTTGCTTCCAACACACTTGAAATCATTTCCACTCCTTGTGTTTCATCTTGGTTTTGATCCAAACCAGTGCAATGTATTCAACTAATTTGGGCACCCATCTCAGTTATCTCTTATTTCTTATTCATCCTGGCAGCATCATGCCTTGTCTCTTTCTTCTGGATTCACTTCTTATTTACACACCTGAGGACTTCCTCCTCTGTGCTTTGGTGTGCTCAGCAAGGCTGTATCTAACCTATCTCCTGGCAGTGCTCACTGCATCTCTGTGCAGGTCACCTGGGGTTCCCTGTGCCTCCCATTCCTTATGCACTCACTTCCTGCTTCATAAGAATTTCTTTCTTGAGGTGACTGCTCATAGAGTTAGATCTGGAGCTCACTCTTCAAAGCTCTTTCCTCTTGCTTATGCCATGGATACCTGGGAGCATGAACACCTTTCTTTGAAAGAAATTCCAGCTTCAAACCCATGTAGCTTTACCTGCCCATTGTCAAACACTTCTGTGCTTCAATTTTACTTCTTCTGCAGCAATGTGTAGAGCTTTTGTACTCCTGTAAACATTCACCTCTCATTTTTCAGTTTCAGCTGCTGTGTCAGCTTCAACCCCAAATCTTGAGTCTCTTTCACTCTAGCAAACACTGAGCTCCTTCCCCTCTGTGCCCTTGGCAGGACACACACTGATACCATGACCATCTTTCATCTTGAGCTGAAAAATGTAATCTCCTCTAAGGCAATGCAAACAGCCATGTAACCCCCTTTCAGGCTGACAATAACATTTCTTTTCTCTAGCCCTAACCTGGTAAATGTTTACTCTAGTTTTCCTGTCCAAGATCCTGTTTAGCTCTAGCCCCTATGTGCCCTTGAGCTCCTCTCACCTGCTGCACTAGTAAATGTCTTCATAGCCTTCACTCTGTTATGTTAAATAAGTGCTCAAACAAACATACTATTTCTTCTGGTGTCCAGAATAATTCTAAATATGTAATATGTATTTATACTTAGGATTTTAGATTATTGCTGTGCCTAGATACCTCAATCTAGTTTTTTTCCTTGTCTTCATTTAGCGGAAATATAATGTTAGAGATGGAAAACACAGGGAAACATTTAACCAATAGATATGCAAGAGTTGAGGGCTCTAAACTAATTTGCCTAAAGTTGTTTAAGATGAGAGCAGTGAGCTTGGTTCCCAAATCTAGAAAGCTCTGCAAAAATGTGCTTGATCCATACCAAGAGGCAGTGATAGATTAGAGTGAATTAAAGAATCATAGACTCACAGAATCCTCTGAGCTGGAAGGACCCACAAAGATCACCAGTCCAACTCCTGCCCTGCACAGACACTCCAACAATCCCACCCTACGCCTGAAAGCATTGTCCAAACACTCCTTGAGCTCTGTCAGCCTTGGGGCTGTGACCACTGCCCTGGGGAGCTGTTTCAGTGCCTGAACACCTCTGGGAGAAGAACATTTGCCTAATACCCAGTCCAACCATTCCCTGACACAGCTCCATGCCAATCCCTCAGGGCCTATTGCAGGTCACTGGAGACAGGAGATCAGCCTCTGCCCTTCGTTCAGCTTGCCAAGAGTATTTTGGAAGATAAGAACAGCTTTTACAAAACTATTGAGGAAAATGTCAGCATGGAGAACAACAGCACCAACATGTGGGGTTCAACAGGAGAATGCCAATGTATCTACCACTCTTGTTGCATGTGTAACACTGCATATAGGGCTCAGAGAAGAGAGAATCTGATGGCAACAGATGGAACTAGAGGCTAAAAATGGATTTCAGGTGTTATTTGAGGAGAAAAGTGTCTCTTCTTCCAGCTGATAAAACGGTTGGACTTGATAATCTTGGAGGTCTCTTCCAACCTTGATGTTTCTATGAGAAGACACTGAATACCTGAATAGTCAAGGATAGAGTAGGAAAATACCCCTCAAGAGAGGACACAGAGAGCCTGGACATGTGAATTCACTGTCAATGGAGAAGGACATGCTGGAACTCTAGAGGAATCTAGCATCTCGGCTCTGGTGCTACCCTATGTCTTCATGAGCAGCCTAAATCATGGGAGAGTCACTTAATCCATCCACTCATTAAATTCAACAATCATATCCAATGGAGAAGGACCGCACAGACAGGAGTTTGAAAAGGGTTCCAAAGACATAGATACAGGCCAACAGGAAAAGATTAAAAGCAAATACATTCCAGGCAGTGACAACCAGCTTGGAGAATGAGTAGGCAGCAGCTCTGGGGGTTAGAGTACATCTTAAGGAAAACACACATCTGTAGTGTCACAGTGTTGGGAACAAAAGCAGATCTCACACTCTGGGGGGATGTGAACCACACTGTGGCCTACAAGACATCCTTTCACAGCACATAGATCCTCCAAGAACTGGGAGATGCTGAGTCTGGAGAAGAGAGAATAAGGGTCAGTGTGGGAACTGTCCCTAGGTTGTCCAAACCAAGCTAAGTGGAAGGCACTACATTGTGTGGGTCTCCTTAGCAGATGTGTCCTCTGTGAGTCAGTGCCCAGGCAGGATGAGAGCAAAGGATAAAGGACATTAGAGACATTTGGATCTATGGCATGGAGATCTGCAGAGAAGCCACCGGTCAATGTCTGTATGGGTTCCATTAACCCTGATGAGTCTCAGGGGCAAAATAAAAGCATCTAAGTAGGAAGCTAAAAACCTCAGGATTTTATTGGTAGCCTTATAAAATGCTCCTTTGTCCATTCCTAGAATGTTCGGGGACAAAGAAGTAAAAGAGCTGTTTCAGGATACGGAAGTCATGTTAGGGACAGGATGGTGGAAAACAGTGGGAACAAAATGACACTGTGAAGAAATCTGGATTCCATCTCAACCTAACTGAACTCTGATGGCTGCACAATAGAGTGCAGAAGTTCTAGGAAGGCTTTAAATCAGAATGTGGAGCAAAGCTGGGATGGGAAGGCACATCTGAGACCTCCCACCTCATCCTAGGAGTGAAAGCAAGAAAACAGTATTCTGATACAGGGACAGGAGGGAAATCAGTGACACTTGGGTGAGAAATTAGAATTGATGAAGCACATCTGAACAATAAAACTGTGATTATAAAAGTGCACAGTAGTGAACAACCAGATCAGGTCCAAGCAGATACACACACACACAAACTAAAGAAACAGAGATGTGAAATACCTGAGCTGAAATGCTGACTCTGATGCAAGGGACTTAATGGGGGAAAGAAGATCAAGGAACAGCAGAACTGCAAAGGTAGACGTTATGCAGAAAGGACAAGCAGAGCACATGTTGCTAGACAGCGTCCAATACATTAAATAAAAGCCAAATAAGGTAAATGATGTATCAACAGATTAAATATATTCCTGTTGGATTAAAATTCCACTCCCAAAGAGGAAAAATATATTATCAGGGCTATACTGGGAAACTGGGAACTTTCCAGGCAGAGTGCTGATGTGCCACACTGAGGAGGTGCTGAGAGGCTAAGATAGCAGAAAGCAAAGGAATTAAGGGAGATTCTGCCAAGTTGAGTGGGAGCCACTACTAGAAGCCTTGTCAAAACTGTATTTTAGACACTATAAATGAACACATTTTGGAGAAATTAACCAGAAAACAAACAAAAGGAGAAATAACATTACCAGTTCAGAGAGATTCTTTGGGAAGGCCACTCAAAAAATAACCATAGCCGTATCAAACATTCTTCCAGGACCAAAATAACCCACAACAGCAATACTTAACTTGAAAGAGAAAGTGAGGAATGCTATTAAAAAGAAACTTAGAAGAAGAATGAAAGAGGTTAAATGTTTGAGGCTGCACGAGGAGTGTTTAAAGATGCTATATTAGAGTCTCAGGGAAAATGTACCTATCAAAATAAAGACATTTTAAACCATAGTTAAAAGGTGCATGAAAGAAAATATTAAAGCAAACAGCCTTCAGAATTGGAAGTCAGTGATTTTCCAGCTATTAACCAGGGAATAACCTATCATTTGACACTGAACATAGTAGCAGTGGAGTGAAAAGCAGCAATGTGACCCTTTTAAATTGGAAAACTCCAAACCAGCCAGTCTGATTTCCATACTGAACAAACTGGTATAAGCAAATGGAGAGTAAAATGACTAGATGCATAAATACCTATAATCATAATGGTGAAGACTCAGCATGTTTTGGTGGAAGGAAGCCATGCCTTAAAAGCCTCTAGCAGATAGACCACAGATGTGTGCTCTGCTTGAGGTATCAAACTTGAGTTTTCAAAGAGATTTTAACATGGTCGTTCAGCAAAGACCTTTTTTGTTCCTAGAAGAATTAAGTGATTGTGGAGTACAAAGGAAGGTCTTCTCCAGATGTAACAGCTGATTAAAGATACAAGCACTAGCAATACTTTTAATTTATCCACTGGAAGCCCACAAGGTTTGTGCTGGGATCACTGCTGTTCAGCATATTCAGAAAAGGCCTGAAAAAAACCCTGTCCATGTCAGAGCTCATGACAAAATGCTTGTGGGTGGTCAAAAGAAAACTGGATAATCAGCAGCTGCAAGAGAATTTATGGTATGGGGAAATATGTGACAAAGTGATAGACAATTAAATGCCAGTAAATTCAAACTCTGGACACAAGCCAAGGATATCAAGGATATCTTGATACAAAGATATCTCCTTGATATCACTATCTGAAACAGCCTACAGGTAAGCTGCAGAGAGACTCCTGGTTAGAAACCGCTAGGAACTTGTTAGGAGCTGCAGTGACAGGACAAGGAGGAATGGGGAGAAATTGAAAGAGGGAAATTGAGATTAGCTATTAGGCAGAAGTTCTCCCTGTGAGGGTGGTGAGACACTGTCTCAGGTTGCCCAGGGAGGCTGTGGCTGCCCCAACCCTGGCAGTGTTCACAGCCAGGTTGGCTAAAGCCTTGAGCAACCTGCTCTGGTGGGAGGTGTCCCTGCCCATGGCAGGGGGTTGGGGCTGGATGGTCTCTAAGCTCCATTCCAACCCCTTCACATACTGTGATTCTATGACACATTCTCAGCTTTAGCCATTCAAGTATGAGTGGTCTCAGTTACCTAATTCCTGTCCCTGCAGCCAATGGAGATGGATAGAGGGATTTAAAAGCACATGGATGTGGCACTTGGGGACGTGGGGTACTGGTGGGCTTGGCAGTGCTGAGGGAGAGGTTGGATTTGATGATCTTAGAGGACTTCTCCAACCTAAACAATTCTAGGATTCTGTCTCTAGGGAACAATTCACTCCATTTTTCTTAGACATCTTAGGATGGTCAAAATGCCACCAGACACTTCTCTCCATGTTGTTTATATAGAGACTTGATATAACCAGTTTCAACCAGGCACTCTTGTTTTTCACTGCCAGAGTTTGATGAGGTGAGACCTCCACTCTCAGACGATGAAGTCGACAGCAGAGGAGAAGGTGCTGCCTAGAGCTACAGCACTGAGGAAGACTGGGGAGCTGCACTATTTGTGAAGGGTAATATGTGCAACAGCATGAAAATATTGTGGGGAAGATCTGTAGGTGAAAAACTCCGAGTCTAGCAATAAAAATACAGTACAAAAACAGCACTCCTGACCCTCTGATCAGAGCTGTGATGGTGAACAGACAATGTTCACTGAGACCACAGAGGCTGCAAAATTAGGATGGGCAGTAACAGTGGGAGATTTCATCTGCTCACACACATACAGGTTAATACTTCACTGGGATGAACTGTGGATACCAACATTTTGAAAGCAATAAATGCTTACATGCCAGAATTAACTAGTCTAAATTGTTTGACCCACAAGAAAAGATGCAGTTCAGGATGTGGTCTGGAATGATGCATAAGGCTCAGTTCCAGAGACAGAAGTGGAAGAGCCTGTTTGTGAGAATGATCACTACAGGATTTTAACTCTGTAGTGGCAGAGAGCAATGTAAACAGATGCAGCAGGTGGAGGTTCAATTTCAAGAAAGGCAACTAAGTAAAAATACAGCAAATGTTCAAAACCCCTGACAGGGGTTGGAGGGAGGTGGGGGATGTCTCTTCAGCCATGGCTGCAGGGAGCAGATTAGAGGGAATGGTCTTGAGCTGAGACAGGGCAGAGTCAGAATAGGTATCAGGGAAAATTTTCCCTGTTAGGGTGTTCAGGCACTGGAATAGGTAATTTCCCAGGGAGATAGTGGAGTCACCATCACTGGAGGTGTTGAAGAGGTGTCTGGATCTGGTGCTGGAGGATATGGTTTAGGGTTTAGGGGTGACAGCAGTGACAGGTTAATGGTTGGACTTGATGATCTTGGAGGTCTCTTCCAACCCTGATGATTCTATGCTTCTATGAAAAGAGCTGCAAAGGAGCAGTCCAAAAATCCCCAGCGTGCCTACAGCTTGTAGGTTGTTCACAAGTGCTGTATAACAGTCAAGGAATCTGTGGGCCCAGGTGAAACCTGTGGGTCAAAAGGAGCATTCCCTGATGGCAAGGCCCCAGCTGAGAGCCTCAATGAACTTTCTGCAGCTATTGCTAGTGCTGGTGACACTGAGTCATGTTTCACTCCAGTGCCACCAGAAAGGCCGCTTAGCTGGGGGCTGGGAGTTTTCCAACATGATCCCACCTACAGAGAAGGGTCTGGATGTAACCTTGAGCTTCCCTTCACCCTGAGTCATGGCAGAGCTTGCTGTGAAGAACAGGATTACTGATGGCACAACCTCTTGGAAAAGGACAACAGGGATACTGCAAAGGCAAACCTCACAGACCTGCTGGGGTTTGGTGAGGAAGCCCACAAGTTTATTGATAAAGGGACTAGTCAACTACATACTTTTGAGTTTTCAAACAGCCTTTGGCAAGGTTCAACACCAAAGTCTACTAGGAAATGAAGTCACCATGAGCATGGAGGAAAGGTCTTGTCATGGATCGAGAACTGATGAAAGCACAGGGCAGGGCATGCTGGTCATTTTTCAGCCTGAGTAAGAGTAAGTAGTGAGGCCCAGGGACTGGTACTGGGAATGGTTCGAACCCTACAGGTGACCTCAGGCATTGAGGGGTGCAGCAAAATCCCCAGGCTTGCAGAGGATCCTCAGTTCCTTCAGGTGGTTAGATGCCTCACTGAAGGCAGGCAAATCCAGAAGGATCTCATAGCAAGTGGACCAACATGTGGCAGATAAACTTCAGTAGAGGAAAATGTGGGAAAAGTGATCTGTATGAGGCCTGTGTGATGCTGAACTTGGAACAGCTCAGGAAGGAGCTCGGAATCATCATCATCAGCTCTCTGACACCATCTGCTCAGCGTGAAATGGCAGCTAAAACACGCAGTGAAGGTTGGCCTCTGCCAGCAAGGGCCACAATCACAAACCAGAGTCTGGGCATCTTCTGACCCTCTCTAACACCTTTGTACAGCATATCTGGGGGGGTTCATGCACATCTGGTCTCTGCATCTCAAGAATGATGTAGTGAGGTTAGAGAGGGTGCAGAGAAGCAGAGGCTGAGGGACACAGCAGCCACTGTATAAGGAGACACTGAAAAGTCTGAGATCCTCAGACCAGAAAAGGGCAAGGAGGTGGTTAAGAGACTTGGCAGACTGTGAAAGCACTG